ACATGTTTGTTGGCACTATCACAAACACAAAACACATGTTTGTTGGCACTATCACAAACACAAAACACATGTTTGTTGGCACTATCACAAACACAAAAAACATGTTTGTTGGCACTATCACAAACACAAAAAACATGTTTGTTGGCACTATCACAAACACAAAAAACATGTTTGTTGGCACTATCACAAACACAAAAAAACATGTTCTATTGGCACTATCACAAACACAACAAACATGTTCTATTGGCACTATCACAAACACAAAAAACATGTTCTATTGGCGCACTATCACAAACACAAAAAACATGTGTGTTGGCACTATCACAAACACAAAAAACATGTTCTATTGGCACTATCACAAACACAAAAAACATGTTCTATTGGCACTATCACAAACACAAAACACATGTTTGTTGGCACTATCACAAACACAAAACACAAGTTTTTTGGCACTATCACAAACACAAAACACATGTTTGTTGGCACTATCACAAACACAAAACACATGTTTTTTGGCACTATCACAAACACAAAAAACCATGTTCTATTGGCACTATCACAATCGCAAAAAAACATGTTCTATTCTTTCGTTTGCGTTACAGTGTGGACAGTTAGGTAAAAAAAAATCAATCAAATCACTTTGGGACAATTAAGTGAAGTAAGTTTTTTATGATGTTGTCACAAAATTCTTCATGATTCTATAGTTTGATACTCCTTATGAACGATTCATGTCGAGAAGTTCACAAGTGACAATGTTTTCTTGGCGTTTTTAATCATTAATGGGGAAATCCTTAACTGTACAGCCGTATTTCTAGCTAACACAAATTTCATTCCAGCTGAGGAAAGAAGGTAACTTCTCGCTTTATTCACCTAGACTCTCTGGAATACAAGTACATGCATTTATTCTGAATCAAAATCATCTTCCAACATCATCTTTATCTCAAACATCGTTATAAATGATCGAGTGATCTATATTGATATCGTACTTTCTGCGGTTTGAAATTCTCCCTGCGGCACCCTCTCAGTGCGTGCATGCTCTAATTAAACCTGTTCGTTTTAATTCAAATCCAAATATGAACAGAAATATCTGATTAGAGGTATATATCATGATACTTATACTTATAAATTCAAGAATGCATTATGTGTGACCTCAGTCTCGTAACTGGTACTGTGTTGTCGGTCGACAGCGTAGTGCTGTACATGTTTACTTCTCACTGAAAGGCCCGGATATTGCGCTATTTCTGTCGTAACTATTTTTATCACAGGCTTTCCCAAAAGATGAAACTGACCACACTGGACGTTGGCGTGAGGTCAGGTCATGATCAACTACGAAAACGTCCGTTAGGAGATAAATATTTTCAGTATCGACTCAATTTTCAGGTTGTCACTTGACTAAATAGCCCCTTAAGTTTGGTTGTAGCTCATCTGCAAGCTTGCTATGGCCATATCATTTAGTTTTTTAATTGTTTCTTTTAATATTTTCCGTATTACATTATTTTTCCCTTCTTCGCTTCATGTTTTTATCCATTTTTTATCTATGGATTTGTTAATTAGAGAGTATGTTTCTTCTTTAATAGACTAACTTTGCACTGAATTGTTTTATGTTTTAGTGCCTTTTTGGCTCATTTATCGGCTTTTTCATTTCCTGAAATGTCTACACGAGCTGGTGCATGTTCAAATAACGGATATTCCTTGGGTTTTGAGTGTTTATACCGAGGTTATAATAGAGTTAAGTTCGGTTTTTCTTGTACTGTTTTTTTTCTTCTAAAGATTGTTGTGGGGATAATTTGTCCGTGAGTATTAGGCATATACCGCGATCGCTATATTATTTTCTTGTGATAAATCCCTAGTTCCACTCTATTATTTTCAGGGTTCTTAGACCCGTCAATAATTCTAAGTGCTAAACCTATGGCTATTAATTCACTTGTATATAAACATGTACAGAACAGTTATCTGTTATTAGTCTTACCGCGATCGCTATATTCTTCTGAATAAATCACTAGTCCTACTCTATTATTGTCAGGGTTCTTAGACCCGTCCGTAAATTATATTTCGTATGATTTTAGTATTTATCATCGATAAACGATAACGCTATGGCCTTAGCTGCTATTAGATTTTCTTTTTTATTTGTTGTATTCAATATATCTGTGCTAGTATCAGGTTTTCCTAGTATCAGGTGGTCCTAGTATCAAGTTGTCCTGGTATCAGGTTGTCCTAGTATCAAGTTGTCCTAGTAGCAGGTGGTCCTAGTATCAGGTTGTGCTAGTATCGGGTTATCCTAGTATCAGGTTGTCCTAGTATCATGTGGTTCTAGTATCAAGTTGTCCTAGTATCAGGTTGTCCTAGTAGTAGGTGGTCCTAGTATCATGTGGTTCTAGTATCAAGTTGTCCTGGTATCAGGTTGTCATAG